ACCTTAATCATCATCTTCATCGTAAAGCTTTAATCGGTAGGCAAGCCGTACTGACCAATATCTTTTTTGCCATTTTGTACGTTGGATTGAAATTTATGAGTATAGAAGTTGGATTTTGAGTCAACCTGCACGGGAAAATGAAAGAATGCTCTGGTAACCATTACACGGAATGCGCAGTATAACTGTGCAGCCGCGGATCGATCAACCATTCTGACTTGGCAGAGAGTGACAACAGATGGCTACTGTTCAGGGTTCGCTGCCTTATCCCTTAGTGTCTCCAGCCAACTGGTTGACGGATCTTTTGGACCCTAACCATAAAGGCGTAAAGCACTCACTTCTCCTAAGTTTGCTGTACATTTTCCCATTCCTCGTTGTCAAGTCAGCTTTTGACCTCCACGGGGTTTCTCTCACTCCCCAGGAGAAACGGAAAACAAGGAACGGTATGGCAGACGTGTGTTCGCCATACGTAACAAATGCTCTAACGAACGAAGCCTACTAAGCTGGTTACGCTGTGATAGAGAATTCCCAGAAGCGGTAAGCAATATTCGATTTCTGACCTGAGTATTGTTTACTCGGTCATTTCATCCAATCTGAGCGATACTACGTAAATATCGATGCTCCAACACCTGAAGACGACAAATATCTTTCGCAGGCAGACCTCAGGTCTCGCAACCATACAACAAAACTGATAGCTCTGCTGTACAGTACACACAACCTTTCAACTTCAGTGAAATACCAGGTCACCGTCACAAGTACTTCAGTCCAGGGTACGACACTCGAGTCTTAGATATACTCGTGCTTATCTCTACTGCTGTACTCCCATCTGTCGTCAGGCTGCTGCCGAGGTAACTAAAGCTGTCAACAGTTGTTAGTTCCTCCTCCTCGAGCATCAAGCTTGGAATCGTTGACGTCCAGTCTTGCAACACGGCTTCACACTTTGAAGGTGTACAGCGCATGCCAAAGGAAGCTAGAGCACTCGCAAGTTCATCTAGCGCATGTAGAGCATGTTTTAATGCATTCGAACAACCAGACAACGTGGTCTGCGTAATCCAGGTCACACAGCTTCTCGCTTTTTCCCAGCTCGATGCCCACATCCTGAAGATCTCAAAAGGCATTGTCCATTACTTCCACCATGACAAAGTTAAACAAGAATGGAAAAATTGGACGTCACCGTCGAACGTTGCTAGTCTTTTCAAACCGACTAGATAGTTCATCGTAAACCCTCAAGCCGCCAGGAGTATGAGATGGCAATTGCCTCAGAAGATTCACGAACTTCTAGGACATCCCTTCCGTATGAAGAGCATTGAATAGCGCCATCCGGTCAACTGAATTGGAGGTGCTTTTCAAGTCTAGGGAAACCATTATTGTCGATCGACGGTGTGTGACGCACCTCTAGTAATTGACGAAGAGTCGAAATCTGGTCGACACATTCTCAACCTGGGCGGAATCCCGTCTGTTGTTCGCGGGCTTTCCTCTCACAAGCCGGTGTCAGACGACGCAGCGAAATCGAGGCCAATACCTTGGCGACTATCGCAATCAAGGTAATCCCACGATGATTACCACAGCCATTGCCTATTCCCTTCTTGAAAGCGGTTACGAACAATGACCCACCCCATAATGGCGGGATACATTCCTCCTTCCAAAGGTCACGGAGCCAAGTGGTAAGTGATTTTATCAATGAACCACCACCCATTTGGAAAAAGCTGAAGAGAGTTTGTCAGGACCAGCTGCTTTCCCTCGCTTTAGTAGTGGAATGCACGACTGTGCTTCTACTTCTGATGGGGTTTCAAGTGATACTCCCAAAGAATTTGCAGTTGTTGAGGTCGGAGTAACTACAATTGCGCGCAGCCAGCTAAATTGCTCCTTGAAGTATTCGATTCAATGGTAAAGCCTTTGCTCTTTGCTATGAATGGGCTCTGAGTCTCTATCGCATATCGTTTCACTAACCGGGGTTCGCCGTTCACCGGTGTTGCGAAAGAGTTGGAACGGTCTTTAAATGTTACCTGAAGAGGCTGCTATTTCCGTTTCTCCGGCTACCCTAACCCACCCTTTTTCTGCGATCATTCTTAAGGCTTTTCGTGGCTCACCTTTGTAGTTTTCTACATATCTTATTCATCTCCTAACTGTTCGAGAACTGACGTTTTTGCTCTATTACCCTAATCGACTACAGCGGAATCCAGTGTCTTTTGGTGGACATCAGATCCAGGACCAAAGGGAAAACCTGCTGTTACGGACATCGCCTGCTGGATTTGGGTCCTATGCTCTACTGTTCGTCGTGGATCTTAGCTCATATGCTTACTTCTGTTCTCAAAGGAAACGGAATTCTGGATCAGACAAACACTGCATGGCTAACCGGGTCTGAGGTTTACTTCGATGACCATGGAGCTAGAGTGATATTCGTATTCAAACTAATGCATGGTCCGGCTCTACGTACGTGGATCAGTAAGATCTACAGTTCTAAACAGAACTGCGCAACCGATAGCTTAGTGAGATATGATCAATCTGACTCAAAGTACCCATAGAGTAAGAGTGCCGTGCGACTTGAGCTGTGTTGGAAATTCGTACTAGATAGGAATAGCCAACTGTCTGCACAAAACCGGAGAAGCCTATCCCCGTTACCTGTGCATTGAGCGGGTAAAGCACAACGCTCACCTAATCAATGTTCTTAAGCCATAAGTTTGCTATTTCTTGGAATAAAATCATCAACTAACACTAAATGGTCAGAGCCCTTGCTCTTGCGAATGAGGGTGTTGAGTTCTCCGTAGAACTCATCGTTCTGCGTATGAGAGCTGCAGTCTGTTGGGGCATATGCCGACAGCACAAACAAACTGCACTTAACACAGCTATTCTTTCGAACGCCAACTGACCCCTGGAGTCTTACAGCACCAAAACGACTGTTAACTAAGATTCAGTCTAAAATGGCAGTATTAGCCTTGTCAGTCAAAACTATTCCTACACCATGTTGACCCACAGCTCTAGGTACTTCGACTCCTGAAGTGGGCAGCAAATACCTCGATGAGATACCAGGAGCAGTTGGTTAAACCACACTGCTCCAATCCTGGATAAGAGTTTCACTCAGGCAGCAGCCATCAATCTTCAGAGGATCTTTTACGAAGGCTAGGCATGTCTGCTGACCGGCCTGTATGAGAGTACGCACGTTGAAGGAGCTGAGATTCAGAGGCTATTGAGGCTTGAAAAAATGTAAGTTATGCCATTTTGGGTTATTTAAGGAAGTACTTGACAACAAACCGAAAGTGAGTATCGAGCTTGTTATCAGTGTGAGCATTACAAGTGGATAGAGAATACAAAGGGAGGTGGTCGGGGACAGAAGACAAAGGTTGAATGAAAGAGAGGGAGCTCTGAGCAGTTGCCCACTTACTACTACCCACCCTGCTTGATACAATGGGCAGGGCGGTCGTGATGGTCCTGCGCGAAGACCGACGCAGTATGGAATTCCTTCTATTTGTACAGTTCATGGGATAATATATATATATATATATATATATATATATATATGTATATAACACGGATAGGGTACAGACAGTGTGCCAAAGTGACCATGGGATAATAGGAAAACAATGCAGGAGAACAAAAAAAAACATAAATGTTTGAAAGACTTTTATTGCAAGTTTTTTCCACTCACGGTATTTGTTTTTTTTTTATTCGCATCACTTGTGGTTTACACATGGAGGGGAAGCATGGGGACTCAGCACAGCGTGCCATACTGCACTGATGCCACTGACTAAGGTTTTGGGCCATATCCGTCAGAGTATCAAGCCAACTGCTTTCTGTGTCAATTTTGCTCCAACCTGGTAGGCGACAGGGCCCTACTGCGGCTCAGCTTTTTAAAACTTCTCCTCCAGGTCATCTGTTTTCCACCACGCCACCGTTTCCAATCTTGTCTAGCGAGCGCGAATAAAGCGCAGCTAGGTGAAAGCTGGGCGGGCATCCGCAAGACATGAGCTAACCACCATAGCCGACGAAGAGAGACAATCACCGTGAATGGTGAACAGTCCACCCACGAATACTCTCCTCCACACTTCGTCATTACTGGCGTGATGCTGCCACCATACTCGTGTGATTGTCCGTAGACACCGGTAGTCGAATATGGTCAACTGGCGCAGATCTTCCCAAACTGGTCAGGTTTTGCATCCATAAAGTAGCCCCAAGCAAACTGGGGTGTAATATACTCTACCCTTTAGGGAAAGCCTGA